CCCATGATGCCTTTGAGGTGGTGCAACCGGCGATGTGTGTGATGACTGCGGAGGAACACGAAGGCGGATGGCAATGAGTGCCTTGCGGTCGTTCTTCGTCCAGTCAGGGACGAGCGCAGTGTCGGTGGGTATTTTCTTAGTGCCCTTGGGATATTCTAGAAGATCCATCCCGGTGAGAATGTCCTGGACAAGGATGCTCCAGCCAAAATAATTCTCCGTGCCCTTCAGAAGCTCAATCTTCGGGGTACTGTCCATACTGTCTGGAACACTGATCGTCGGCCGTGCCTAGATAGAGTTCGTTCTGGACGACGTGTGATGTCACAGGGTTGATCAAGGTTTGATCAACAGCGGAAAGGGTTCAGGACGACCCTGCAGTGATGTCGGTGACCGTAGATTATAGCGCGGGGCTCATAACCTGTTGTAGGAATCTTTGCGCAGGCGGGGGATTCACAAATAATGTACGATAAATTGTCGAAATATTACACCGTGTTCTTTTATAGCTATAGTATTTCCTAATCTAATCATAACCAATGAAATGTCCTTACAAAGGTGAGACTAGGTACAAACGAGTCGGGGTGTCAAACGAGTGCCAGCGTAGAGTGCTCTGGGCGTGTCACATCTAAATAAAGAAACCATGACGCAGAGCGCGTCATGTCAGAGAGCATGGAACTACGAAGCGCATCAGCGCATTGTCAAATCATCGGGTACGCGCCTCAGATACAACAACAGGTACCAGCCCGCCAAGGTCTGCAGGCTTGTGCCAGCATTCTGAAGCATCTCTCTGAGGCGCTGTTTTGTCATACTGGCCCATTGTTCTCTCTCCAGGGCAGGTAGTGCAGCGCGTCGGGCAGGCGGCCCTCTCTAAACCTCACAACCGTTGTTAACGGTCTTTATTTGTCCTGTACAAATAGGGCTGCCTGATTTAGAAGCGGGCGGGGCTCGACGGCGGGATGGCGGGATGGGAGCAGATCTATTTACAACACATGTCTCGCGGCGAAACTACGGCATCAGCGGAAAAGCCGTCCACCCCTGCAGCGACCGTGTGCTGGCTCGAAACCATCCCATCCCATCCATTTTAGAATTGAGCACGCCTCATTGCTTGTTAAATCCGCCGCCATTTCAGTAAAGCATGAGTCTCTCCGAATATACATGCTGGATAATTGCATCTTCCAGCTATTGACTCAGCTGGTCACCTGACTGATTTGTAAAGCTCGGGACTTTCCGAGTTAGTATATAAGGCCACCTATCCTGCTACAACTTCCCAACCTAACTCTAATCACAACCATGACCTCAAGTGTACACCCCATTCAAGAAATTGTGCCACAGGACATGTCTGCTGGATATGCGCTCACTCGGGCAGCTGAAATAGTGCCCGTTGAGTATCCGCCGCTTCGGGCAGCTGAACAAGTGCCCGCTGGCTCTACGTTGCCTCGGGCAGCTGTGAAAGTGCCCGTTGAGCCCACCTCGCCTCGGGTGGCTGAACAAGTACCCGACGAGTTCATGTCGTTTCGGGTAGCTGAACCAGTACCCGTTGACAGTGAGCTAGGCGAATCTTTGGCGCAGCCGGTCCTAAGTGCACAGCCACTCCGTAGCCAGTGCGGAGGGCGCGACAGCGCCCTCAGACGCCGCGGTGTTAGCATTGACATCACAAATGTCTATGGTGTTGTCAACTTTACAATCATCGCGCCGTTCTACACAGCAAATACCAACAACCGTGTCGTTGTGACGTCGCCCGGTCGCGACGCGACGGATGTGGACTTATCGCTGCGAAGAGCGAGCATGCTCAAGGCAGATGGAATGCCAAGTCGTGCTATGCCGGCCCCTGAGGAGAGACAGAAATGGTGGAAGAAGAAGCTCGGGATGTTCATTGTGAAAGACGTCCTCGTCGACGAGCTGGATAGGAATCATCACCGTTGGCCTAGGCATGCTATCGTGCAAGGCCGACTGCACTCGTTCCCCGCCGGGTACACACTCATGTATATACCCCGGTTGAAGGACAGCGATCACAAGGACGTGTATTTGTACAGCACAGACGGCAAACGTAAATGGCGCTCGCCGGAAGAGTTTGGGCCTCATCTTGCTTGGTTGCTGACAGGACAGCGGCGCGATATAGCCGGTCGGTGCGTCTGCGAGTGTTGCGTCTGCATCAAAGCTAGGACGGGAGAGTCACCTAGGCAGAGCAACATTACGCGCCGTTATGAAGATATCGACAGCTACTTCGCCGCGCAGTCAAGTATGAAAGTTGCCAGACGGCCCAAGGCAAGGAAGAACGCACCCCCCAGCAATGATAGCCTTTCGATCAAGCAGATCATTGCAAGGGCCAAAGATTATTCGAAGTGGAAAACAAGCACAACGAGCCTGGCGGCGGAGAAGGGCGTGGGAGAAAGATAATGGATACTTTTCGTTATGTTTATCGTTTCATTTACTTCGGACTTCTACTATCCATTCACGAATTCTGGCCAACAGGAGGAAATTACTTCGCAGCCGTTTGGCTTGTTCTCTACGAGACAAAACTTTCACCTTCAACTGTTTCATTAGTTTCCTTCTTTCGCTCTCGGAAGGGCTATGGGAACTTGGATCTGAGGCCTCCCCTCACGGCATCACGGACCCCCTTTGCACCGAGCGAGTTCGCACGTTGAGCTGTCTCTGTAATGTAGTCTGCGATTATCTATTTCATTACTCCCTAGCTATCATAACTCCCCCTCCTTTTCTGTTCTTTTGGTGGGGGGGGGTCAAACGAAACATAGACGCTGTGAAGTCATTTGCGCTCAAGTGAAGTCCCCATATTCCACATAGCTATATCCAGAATGTGAGCAGCCGTACGATGCGCGAAACCAAGTGTGAGATGCAGTGCCTGTATGATTTTGAAGGATATATCGCGGTACACCCCTACCGGCGGAACCGTTCCCGTTCTGCTGCGAGGTCTTCGCCCCATTGCTTAACTTCGGGATGCTTAAGATGCGGCAGACTGCTGTCAAAGAATGACTGTAGGGTCTTCATGTCATGGTTCCTTTCATACTCAAACGCTGCAAAAATGTCAGCGTCCGTCAGAAGGCAGAGATGTATACCACCCCGCACCTTGGGAAGCCATCTCGAACCGATCCAGATCTTGTTGGAAATCAGTACATGAGTCGCAGACAATAAAGATAATTTAACCTTTGACAAAACGCGCTTCCGAAGACTCTTGTGCTTCGTACTCCTGCCAAAGCGCACGTATGCGCTGAGCTGCAGGGCTGTCGTGTAGCATCTCGTATACGAAGTTATCCATCGCTTCCTGTGCGCAAGATAAGTCGATAACCACGGCTGTATTCACCAAGACGTACTGCTTCTAATCTGCGCTTCTCAGCTTTAGGGATCCCTTCTCGTGGTGCTATGTCGCCAACTGCAGAAGGTAATATGAGGTCATCGTATGGTGCAGACCCTGCCAGAAAGCGTGCCTTGTGCCTCAGCTAAGTCATGTACCAGAGCCATCATAACACATCTACAGCGTTTTAAGTACAAGGAAGATAGAGGACAGGATGATGTCCCCTACTTTGATATGTCCAGGGACATGTCCGATGTGCACATCGCAAGGACGGCCATCCGGTACATGTGATCTGAGATGCTACGAGGCTTCAGCACTTCACACATAGTAAAATAAGTATAGTGGCGCACCTCTCAGGTCCAGGAACCTACTGGCGCGTACACGCTTAGACATTTCTTACTCATAGTCAGACGGATGGACAAACATTATGGTCAACCCATCCTGTGCGCTTCTGCGTCTGGACCGGTGTCAGTTTCACTGCCGGGGACAACGCAAAACCCTCCTACCTTCAACCTTTCAAGGATGTGGAAAAATTCAAGCCTATCGACTGCAGCATCGCCGCTTGACTTGTACAGGGGAGGAAACGTGCGGGCAGAAGCCATGAAAGCGGAGAAGTGTACAGACGCCCATGGCACGCTGTGGGCGTCTTTGACATACCCAGGGACGGCAGTGGGCGTGATCACTGCTCCTGCCACCTCCAATCACAATCCTTCACGCATCCCAACCTCTACACCTCGGTCCTGGTTTTGACGGAGCGAGAGGGGACTCTCCACGTATTTCCTGCCAGATACTTTAACTCTCATGCAAGACGAGCAGGGTACGCATGCATTCCCGCAGCCAGTCCGAGATTTCAGCTTACAACACTTCGTGCACAGATACATGCCGGATTTGCAGCGCACCAGCCGAGCCAGACCAGCCACTATACCATCCCTGCAAGTGCTCTGGAACGATACGATACATACATCAGGACTGGTACGTGCTCTCGGAGCAAGACAAAAACGTTCGCTGAACGGCGGCACACGACCTGCAGTCTCACAACATGGTTAGCTCATAGCAAGAAGAAGTCGTGCGATGTTTGCAAGCATCCATACTCGTTTACGAAGGGTGCGCTTGATCCCGATAATTTCTGGAGCATGCTGACGTGTTCTCAGTATATTCGTTGGAAATGCCGTCGCGGCTGCCTGTGGCCCTTCTCCTACGTCGACTAGCACAGCAATCAGTGACTGTCTTGTTATTTGTTGCGAGGGCAGTCATGGTTGCGCTGATTTGGTTGGCACTACTTCCATGGGCGACAATCTGGACGTGGAGAGTGTATTTTGCATTGGGCGATTCGACGTAAGTAAATACGCCCTTCATCTGTGGTCCCTGATCGAATAGGCATCATCCCTCGGTAGAGCCTGGTGGATTAGCAGTCGACCGCGGCCGCCTCAAACTACTCCGGTCTCCGAGAACAGAACCTTCGTCGCAACTCATACCAATCTCAACGACACTACATCATGGCCCATTTCACTCTTGTCTCATCCAGTCATCGTGTCGGTATCCGCAGACATCGTATCCGGACAAATCATTGCAACCGTCATAGTCGTCGCTTTCGTCGCTGTCTTTCTACTCCGCGAATGGATTTCTCAGAACGCCCGCCCCGGAATCTTCGACGATGCAGAAGGTCCTCCAGAACTTCAGGACGCCGAGCTCCCGCCTCCCGCTCTTGCTGCCGGAGAAGCTGCCCCTGGAGAAGCCGACCCCGAAGAAGCCGACCTCGGAGAAGCTGAACGTTTGGCCGTTGAAGCCCCCTTGCCGCCGACGATCGCCGCCCTCGACCACGAAACTCGCAACCAGCTGAACAAGATAGCAGAAGATCTACGAGCGAAGGCAGCAGAAATAGAGGCGAGGCGTGCGGAGTTGAGGACAGAGCTGCAGGCGAAGACACTTGAGCGCAGGCGGCGGCGGCGCTCTTGGGACGAGCAGTGCACTACTTCCTCTACGTCTGCTGTTGCTGGTGACTCTGAGACTTCCGCCTTTGACTTCGACCCTGCGGCCTCAAATGACGAAGAGGAGGCTCTTGTGCGACAAGCACCAGCCGACTTTAAGATGGATTTTTCAGGCTGGACTCCTTTGGACTGGTCTCATATCGACGCTGACGGCTCGTCACCTCTGGCAGAGATACCCTCGGCCGTCTCTGAGGCATCATCAGCCCCTCAGACACCATCTAGACAGCGTCCGCCTCTCTTTTCAACTGCTATTTTGCCTGACAGAGACAGCTTATCGCCTTCGCCAATGTCTACCAGCTCGCGTGGTCGGACACCTCTCGCTTCTCCGAGCCTGGCGACGTACCGTGCTCCGGAAGAGCTCGAAGCTGGACCATCGAAGTCTCTAGAATATTTCCCTCAGCATCAAAGAGAAGAGGAATTCTCTCCTAACGGAGGCTCTGGGTCTACCGAGCGGGAGTACGACACGTATTTCCGAGACCCCGAGGCCAAGGAAGATAATACTTTGGGCAAAGGCAAGGCGCCTGCTGTTCAAGCAGCACCGTTGCACGCGAGACAAGACTCCGAAAGCGATCACGACATGCCCGGTTTAGCGCAGATAACGGACGCGGAATCAGACGATGGTGAAGAGCTCGAAGAGGAACGTCATGCTCAGGCGAATATACCTGATCCAGAGCCATTCAATCCCTTTGATGCGGAAGACGAAGCTGTCGAGGGAGATGACGAGCAACTCATGGATATTCGTGAAGCATTGGCAGAACCGAGGCAGGAGTTCCCCGATCCTGAGGAGGGCGATGTGGGCATGGAGGACGATATGGAGGGTGCTTTGGAAGGTGCGTTGCCGATGTACCCAAATTCTCAAATCACTCATCGGTCTGTGCCAGCCATCGGATTGCGCGGACCGATATTCGCGGTCTTGCAGAACGTGAGTCTTCCTCCTTTCTACGTCAATTATTACTGATCCGTTTTCAGGCTGCCCTCATGATTTTCGTTCTCAATGCGACTATTGGAATTGGTATCTGGTTGCCTTTCATCGTAGGAAAGTCGCTTGCCTTACTCTCTGTATGTGCTGCGTTACGTTCCTCATCTGTGCTTGCTCACGTTTCTCATGCCAGCTGGATCCAAAACGGCTCCTGTACATCATTCACTTCCCTATCCGTGCCATCCGAATCATCACGGATCCAGTGGTTGACTCATTCATGTTTGTGCTCTCACGGCTAATGGCACCGCTCCTGTGGCGCGCCGTCGGCCCTTGCCTGTCGTTCATCAAAGACTTCATGTCCAATATTCTTGGACAGCAGACTACCGACAAAGGCATTGAAACGTTCTCCGTTATGGTAGGTGCTTAACCATCTGCTGAGTCGAGCCGTGCTCATCCCACGTAGTTGAACCGGACAGCGGAAGCAGTTACACGATCTTTCGCCACCTTGCTCTCGGCCTCTGACACGCCCGTCGTAACTCAGCCCACTCTCGTCGATAGGCTGCTCGCACCCGATTCCGCCTTCATGCGCCTCGCCGAGCCTTACTTTGCACCTATCGGCGAAACACTCAGGCTTACCTGGGAAGATCTGAAAACGAGTTGGGTTAGGTTGGCCCTCGGAAATGGCACAACGGAGAAGATTTTCGCCGTCTCGCTCGGCTACATGGTCAATGCTGTTCTTCTTGCGCTATACCTGAACGTCGTCACGACTGGCAACATGAAGAATGCCGGACGTGCAATGAGAAGCGCTATTCGGCAACAACTATTGGTAGTTAAGGTGGGTAATGCGTTTGCCCCGGTGTGCTGAGCTGGTGCTTACTCTTCGTCATTAGGTCGCTGCATTCATTATCATAGAACTCGTCGTTTTTCCTCTCGGATGCGGGATTATGCTCGACATATGCACTGTCTCTCTGTTCCCGCAAGGTAGCCTCCGCACTCGGCTTGTCTTCCTGGCCCATGCTCCACTGACGTCCGCCTTCTATCATTGGGTCATTGGTACTATGTTCATGTAAGCACCATGCTTTACGATTTATGGGAACGATGGCTGATCCTGTGGGCAGGTACCAGTTTGCTGTCCTGCTCGCTGCGTTCCGAACATGTCTTCGTCCGGGCGCGTTGTGGTTCATCAAGGACCCACAAGACCAGAATTTCCATCCTATCCGAGAGATACTCGACCGGCCAGCTCTCGTGCATGTACGCAAGCTCCTCATCAGCGGGATCATGTACGGCTTCGTCATCGCTTGCAGTGTTGGGACAGTATCAGCTATCCTTCGCGTGTTTAGTCGGACCATCATGCCGTTCAGGTGGAAGCTTAGGTGCGTTACCACTGCTGCGTGGTCGACAAGCGAGAGACTGATTCCTCCTAGGGAGCCTCTTTCTGTGGTTCCTATCGACCTTCTGTTCCTACACCTGGTCTTGCCCTATACTTTGCAATACTTCAGGCCAAGGAAATTCCTCAAGCAGAACAGCCTCCGTGTCTGGAAGTTCATCGCCAAACAACTGCGGTTGTCGTCATATCTGTTCGGGGGCCGTCATCCCGACGAAGAACTCTCTAATCCGCAGCTGCCGCTCGCTGACGAGCAGAAACAGCCAGCTACTGTGATTGGGACGTTCAGGCGTGTACCCAACACCGACAATGTCGCTCTGGCGAAAGGTCAGGCCGCAACTGCTGAAGTGGACGAGGAAGGTCGTCCAGTCAGTGACAAAGAGGCCCGGCTCATGCTACTCCAAGACACCGAGGCGGAAAACAACAAGAGGAACATCAAAGATGATTATGTCATCGCATACATGCCACCTCACTTCCGGTACCGTGCTTGTACCTTCGTCGCTGCTGTCTGGATCTTCTGTTCGGTTTTCCTCGCTTCGGCACTTGCGATACCCATTTTGCTCGGCCGTGGATTCTTCAGACTCTTCCTGTCCTACGACGTCCACGATGGCTACTCGTTCGTCGCCGGCTTCTACCTGCTCTGGACGTGCTGGCTCGTGAGCAATGCGATCAATCGCATGGACAGACACCGGCAACGTCGCGGCGGCGATCAACAGCGCGCAGATCTTGCTCTGTACTTCATCAAGCGCAGCTTGCTCTGGGGCGCGAAGGCGGCATACATGGCGCTCTGCCTTGGGTTCGTCATTCCGACGTTGATTGCCATCGTCGTGGAGCTCTACGTTATCTTGCCGGTGCGACACGAGTTCCAGCCCGAAACGCAGCCGCGCATACGGATTGTCGATATGTGGGCCCTTGGATTGTTGTACACCAAGGTTCTACTTCGTGTGCAGAGGATGCAGCCCATGGGGACGATCGCAAGGGGCGTTCAGTCGGTTAGTGTCCTCTCCATCTTGTCTTCATAAATTCATTCACTGATCGCTTATGTCGACAGATTCGTCGTAACGGATGGACGCATCCGGATCCGGTCAAAGCTACAAAAGAGGTTATTGCTCCGTTGACCGTCGGCCTCTTGGGCATGATATTACTTCCCCCAGCTGTTGTCTGGGTGGGATTGAAAGCGACGGGACTCCAAATGAACGAGAAGCTTTTGTGTATGTATATCTTTCTCCCTTCAAGTGCTCCATCCTGACGTCCTGCATCACATAGACCTGCATATCTACCCCGGCATCTGCACTCTGACCGCAGCTTGCCTGGCCGCCGTCGCTAGCTACGACGTGATCAGCTCCTGGTCGCAGACGGTCCGCGACAAGGAGTTCCTCGTTGAGATGCGCCTGCAAAACTTGGACCCTGGGCAGGAGGCTCAGGGCGAGAACGACACGACGGAAGACGGACCCATTGAGGACGATGCTGAGGACTTCTAATTTTTGGTTAAAAAGACCACCAACATCCTGTAGAACATAGCATTATAACGCATATAGTGGCCTGTAGCCGTGTATTAACATAATTTATCGGAACACATACGGAGCTGGTTTGAGTCAGTCTCATAGCTACTCTCTCTCTCCCGCGGTTATGCTATGCTTATGACGACGGGTCCCTTCTCAATAGCAACATACACAGCATCTTCTAGTGGTTATCCTTACAGCACAAGTCTAGTAATACATCGTCAAGAAAAGTTGGGCTTGCCGCGTCATTCTTCCTGCAGGATAGCGATCGTAGTTGTCTGCTTCGCCTGATCGTCGCCGGCCCTCCCACTCTGCGCAAAGAAGGTACTCCAGGTCATCGTTTCCAGCATGGGCAGGTGTGATGCGAGTGTTGCCGCAGCTACGAGCTCCGTCCGCCTCACTTCGTCGGCGAACACCTGACAGTCGCCACAGAGATCGGGTCCAAAGGGTGGTGTGACGTCCGGAGTGGGCGGGAAGCGAAAGTCGCCTGCGTGCTCGAGGTGGTCGTAGAAGAGGTCGAGGGGCGAGAGATAGATGCCGAGGTGCAGGTGTCTCAGCTTGTGGAGGTGCTTCAGCTCTTTGCCGAATGCGTGCTGTGAGGTCATGGGTGAGCGCGCAATGGAAATACACCGGGACATATGTGCTTTTACCGCGAGGTGCTCGGCGTTGCAATAACTGTTCGGGATCGGCGAGTGGACGGTGTGGCTCCCGGCTTCGTCGTAGCAGTTCCAGCAGCAGTCAGGCAGCAGGCGGTCAGAGCAGCGCAGAACCAGAGTGTCGAGACGCGGGCAGTAGGTGGCGACCAGAGAGAGCAGATAGGTCGTGATAGAAGGCAGATAGAGCAGCTCGAGGCGAGTAACTTGAGGAGGCATGCAGGACAAGATGAGTTTCGCAGAAGTGTGGTGTGTATGCTGTCCTTCCGCGTCGAAGTCGATGGTAACTGTATGCAGATTCATAAACGTTACAAGGTTTTCTGGGTTCACATAGAGCGCTATGGATATCGTATCCATGGTCCTGGAATTAGCAGATATATGCGCATATATGCGCCTCAGTGTCCGCCCAAAGCGCATGAGGAGCATTGCAAAAACACGAACCGTGTCCAGGTGCGGACTCCGGGTATTTGGCACAGTTTAAGCCAGTGTGACTTGGACTTGACAGTGAGCAACGAGAAGTATTGTCTGAAAGCGATATGGCGAAACCGATGACTAGCGCAGGAAAAGCCCTCGATTGTCGAGAAAACCGGACTGTCCAGCAACATGAATGCAACAACATAGTCGATAATCTCAATTGGCAGAGATGGGGCGCGTCTCTAAAGAAATAGATTAGAGCGACTCGTGCTGCGAAAACGTTGGTAATTGCTCACCTGTGCAAGCAAGCCTAACTTCAAGCATTGAGCACCAGTCGGCGCTGCCAGCATGGACATCGCAGAGGCATGCACAAGCCGGATCTAGGATGAGCCTGATCTTGTGATCTGCAGCTACAGCAAGTCCGAGAGTCTGAGATAAAGGTGAGCGAGAGAGCGAGAAAGCGAGGAGACACTTCTCTTAAGTCCTCGGGTCGTTCCGGCATCAATCACAGCCTAAACAGGAAGGCTACAGCGCTGTGGCGTTTCCCTCCATGATCATTCATCGGTACTCTAGCACCTCTCACTGAGACTGCGGAGTAAAGATTGGCGACGAATAAGCGAGGATTCACTTGTTCAGACTCCAGGCAATTTGGTGAGTGCAAATTCGCGTCTTTGCGCGATGACACGTGCTAACGGGGAAAGCGAAGACAATGCTGAGTCGATGACAAGACGCGACAGATAATACCAGGCTTACCGCATGCACGTCAATACGCTCCTGTTGCGTTTTGAGTGTAGATGGCAGTCTCCTTGCGTAGGATGCGTCACTGCACCGCGAGATGAGATGAGGAAGAAACCTTGATGTAGTGCCGATCCGTCGCCAAAACGTACTGTCACTTCGATTCTGTCTGCCTCCGCCGCTCGCCACCGATTTGCAAGCTTGAGACATCACATACTCGAGATCACTGTACATTCCATTGCGAGCACCCTTCCTCTCTTTTTTTATTCATGCCCGACGAAGCAGGTACGAGCAAGCAGATATGAATGCGTACAACGAACCACGCTCGCCAACATTTGCGAGCAGGGTCCAACAAACAAGAGTACAATAGTCCAATAGTCCCTCCAGGTCTCTCCTGATTCTTCCCCTTTCGGTGCAGCACCGAAGGCTTTCCCGGTTAGCCCTGCGCACAGCGCCACTGGACTGTGCCGGGAGAGCCCTGTCTCGGTGGACGCGACAGCTGACTTGTATCAGGTGCGCGCCGCAGATCGTCGTCTAGGCCAGACCATGTCTTGTGCGGCCGTTTGTATGTTCGTCGTCTCTCCTCGAGGTCCGCCCTTCTGTCCTAGTCCACGTCCGACAACTCCCGTTTCCTCGAGGTCGCCGCCCTGAGCCAAGCCTTTGGCTTTCCAAGGTTCAGCTTCACCTTCTTCCACTGCGGGCTCGTCTTGTGCGGCAAGGCGCACGCCACCAGGTCCAGCAAGAGCTGTTTTCGGTTGAATTTTTCCGCCGCGGTCCCTCCCTGGTTTGGCTCGGGGAGGGGACCCGAGATGCAGAGCCTCTTTGGTGCCACGTAGCTCTGCGCTTCCGGCTCTTCGCTGTACGAGCTCGAGAACGCAGTGGTGCCACCGTTTTCCGTGTCCTCACAGACGACGACGGATACGGATACGGACGGCACAGGAGCGGGCATGCCTTCCGCCAGCGGGCGATACCCTTTCTGCGACTCTTCGAGGATGTCGCATATGGTATCGCGGAAGGACTCGATGGTGTAGTGTTCCCGAATCTTCGCCACGTAATGCGAAAACACTTGGTCTCTTTCCGTGACAGCGGGCTCGGGGGCTGTGTCGGTTTGGGGCTTTGGCTGGGGGACGGAATCACGAAGGGGAGAGGGGGCTGGAGATCGTTGCCTGGAAACCGACGCCGCACTCGGCTGCCGGTGCTTCTTGGCATCGATCAGCTTGATCTCGGCTGCAACAGAGGCCTGCTTCTACTTCACGTCAGTACCCATTGCGCCACAATATGACATGGCAGGAGCTGACCTCTTTTCCAAGCTTGAGCAGCTGCTCCAGTTCGTCGTTGACGAGCGTGGCCTCGTCGTCACTGGGTAACGACCCCTTGGATCCACGCCCAAGGAGCCTTCGGGACCGTGGGCTGGACGGCGCCAGGGGCGGCGCATTGGCGGGCGCGGTCTTCAGAGAGTACGCCGAGCGTGCCTCGGGGAACCGGGCGCGGTCGGTCGTGGCGAGGATAGTGAAGAGGTCGCTGTACTCGATCGTGGCGAGATGGCGGAGGCCGGTCGCCGACATGGCGGTGGGAACGGCTTGGGCTTGCGACGACATGGCGAGTGCTGCGTCTGTGCTTTGTAATGCAGGCTGATGATGCGCTTTGAGCAGCTTTTGGATAGGCCGAGAGGGGTTGCGACGCTGCGCTTTCGCTGGCCTGGTGGGTGGGGGGAGGGAGAGGGGGACGAGTAACGCTTCCAGTCACCGCCACAACGTGTTTCTGACGTACGGTATGGGGGTATTTGGACCGGTGTTTGTAGGGCCGACACGGGGCAGGCGGAGCGCTGGCATGTCCTTTACCACGGCGAATCCTGCTCTCTTTCTTGGGGCGGCGGCCCCCACAGGCTCACAGGCTCCACTAGCCGGTCTCTTACATTATCTTCCACTTTTTCTCGAGTACGGATACATCAAGAAAGCCCTCGTTGGGCTTTAGGTACCCTGGGGCGCCACGGAACGCAGCGTGGTTAACGCCGCTTTAATTTGCACCGTGTTTATCCGAACAACGCGTCAATCTCGGTAGTGGACACGTCTGAGATTCACACGCGAAAGTTTGCCAGCGAGCTCGCTCCCACCAGGTTTCTGGCTGGCGTATGTAGGTGAATAAAGGACGCGTATCTATTGCAGTGCGCACTGAGAGGACTGCAACCAAGAACAATTAATGATGTCCATTGCGATATATAGGCATGATGTCTCTTCTCGACGCGGATCAAAGAAGGCTATGAATCGCACGGATAGGCGAATATGGCAAGTTAGAAGAACGACGCGAGAACCAAATAACCCGCAGTTGAACGAAGGGCAAGGAGAAACGAACACACAGACCATACTGACTTGGAAATTGGCATGAACAGGGTTGTTGGAGCAGACAAGTCTGTCGCACGCCGTACGTCTTTTCGATTTGAGCCTTGCATTACTCAGACTCGGCGGCTTCGGCCTCTTCACTGGCATTTGGCCGCAGTGCGGCAGCACTGGTTTGCAGCTCTTTAATCAGCTTTGGTATCGTGAAATTTCGACCTCGTTGGCGCTGGTTGTCATGCAGCCGCGCCTCTCGGCGCGGGCCCCGTGGGGCTCAGTCTCCGCGGAGGAGGCTGAAGAAGGTGAGTTCCGTAGTCTTCGAGTCCTCTCCGTCTGCGGCAAGACCGGCAGCGGCATTGCACTCACGGCGCGCCTCGGCGTCCTCGAGAGGGACATGGGTCTCCTGCGGCTCGCGGACGGGCGCGCCGCGCAGGCCGTCGCGGGGAGACTCGAGGCTGCGCGCGCCACAAAGTGCGTGCTTAGAGTTCCTGCGGAACTCTCGGCCTGCATCGGACTCTGGCATGTCGGTAATGGAGGCATTGACCCCAGCCCAGCCAACGTCAGACGGCTTGGGCCCGTCGGACTCGTTGGCCGCGACCGCAGCCGGCTCGCCGAAAGTCCTGGTCGCTGATACGGGGGACAGTCGATCTGGCGCGTCGCCGACGGCTGGGGGTGTGTCTGGAAGGTCCTGTGCGGGGAAACCACCGCCCTCAGGTGCGTCGTTGAGCCAGCTCTTGATATCGGCTGAAGAATCGTCCGTGGCAACGTTCTCTCAGGCTCGGCCGCCGATGCCCCGGCGGCGTCGGCCTGTTCTCTAGTCCAAGCCTCGAGGACGCCTTCCCAGACGAACACGTTCTCAAAGTCACTGGTGGCCTTCGTGTTCTCATACACTGGAACGGCCTCTCCAATTTGAATTGCACAGGCCGCGTATCGAGCGTTCGGAAAGAGAGAGCGCGCACGCTGCGTAGTTGTCGTACCGCGACGCGTCGCCTGGCTGGAACGCGTCGAAAATCCCGCGGTGCTCTTCGTAGCGCGGAGACGCGCGGTATGCTGTGGTCGCTGCGCCGCGTGATTGTAAGGCGTACTTTTGTGCCGTAACGAAGAGCAGACTCGGTGGAGCGATGACTGAGAGCGTTACGTCCATGCAGGGTGAGCATGGGCAAGCTTAAGCCCGCCGTGATTGAGAAAAAGCACTCGTGATGAGAGAATATTCTCTGGTCACTGACTTCAACATCCTATCATTAACTACAAACCTCTGTCATTGACTCAAATTTAATGTCAGTGGTCATGGCACAAACAGATAGTAGTAGTCCACAGCAATACAAGTCGAGTTGTTTCAAGACTGAGATACGTCATAAGCCATACGTACAGGAGTTTCGAATTCTTATTCGAGCTCCACGATCCCTACAAGATCTGCATCAAGCGGTAACATTTGCCACGGGGAATTCACCAATCCTGAGCTTGGTAGACTAATCCATGATTATTAGAATTTGCATAAATAATAATCCGTTAGAAAAAGCTTACCCCGAACGGCGAGAGGGTAATGTTCTTTGCAGGCCCAGTGCACTGGGGGTTACTCGGTGGAGGGCTGGCGAAGGTGTCACCCGCCACGCTCCAGTCGATCTCGCACGCGATGGCGGAGATGGTCATCGGCGGCAGACCGGAGTCGAAAATCGGAGACGGCAAGCTGCCGGAACTCGGTGGAGAGTTGTGGAACTGCAGCGACGACGTGTCGATCGCGTACTGCCACTGCTCTGTGGCGTCGAACTCGAGGTCGACGGCCATGGGCTGCTGGGCGTTCTGTGCCAGCACTTTGGAAGAACGCGAGATGTCGAAGGCGTAGTGGAGCGGGCCCCGATGCACCGCAACTGAGTTGTGCGGTCGCGATTCTGCAGGGACGGATGAACCATGACTTGAGAAAAAAAATTGTCGCGGAAGGAGCATCGCACTCACCAAGGGTGATCTCTGCAGGAAGGTCCAGCACGATCTTGGTGGTCCCGGCCTTGACAGAGACCGACTGCAGGCCATTCGAAGGGGAGACCGCCTCGGGCGCTTCCCCGTTTACAGAGATGGTGCCGTTCGAGACCCAACTTGGGATGCGCACTTGGTACGTAAACGCACTCTGAGCCTCGATCGTCGTGGTGAGAGTGTCGCTGAACGGATACAGCGTGTCAACGGTTGCAGTGACAGAATTTCCTAAGGGAAGGACAGTCGGGCCGCGGGCGGTCAGACAGATGTCAGGGCGGGCGAGAACGCACGAACGCACCATTGGCCAGCGTCGTCTGCGTAGAAAAGGGGCCCAGGTAAACATGCACAAGCGAAGTTTTGTCAGGAGTCGTGACGAACGCGTTGCTGATGAACTTTGGCCAGCCCTGAGGGTGGTTGACAGTGCAGCATCTTCACGCGGATGAGAGCGCTCAGTAGACTCGCACGGATCGGAAGGTTTGCCGCCGGACACTCACGGATAATTAGGCTCCAGACCGAATACATTAGAATAGGACCTTTCTCACTCCGTGAGCGCTGTTCGTGACGCAGAGCAGAGGGCAAAGCGCTCACCCATCTGTCGGGAAAGGATCCCTGTATACCCATCCCGATCAGTTTCATCAGCAGAGCGAGAGCTAATCTCCCATGCTTACGGCGACATGTTCTTTGCTGCGATCTGGTTCTGCTGCTGCAGGTATTGCCGAGACCACATGTCTGCGCCGACCCTGTCAGTTTCAGCGTTCAACACGAGCTCATAGATCGTGTGCTCACTTCCTGTCAGTTCGGCAGGCAGCGCATTGTAGGCGATGCGTTCAACCTGAGGTCTAGGAGTAAATGCGGAGATGTAAAGTGAAGAACCTTGGAACTTACCCTGTCTGCGAATTTTGGGTCACCAATTACTTGATAGAGGTAAGACCCCCTTCACGCCATCAAGGTTCAATTAACGACGATCGACACCGACGCAACACGGAGGCTTACGAGAACATGGTTTCCTGCAAGAACGTTCGCCCTAATTGAGAATCTCGCGGCACACCAATGTGAAGGTGCTAGCGACTTACCACTACCAAACACAGCTCGGTTCTAGACGGTCGAGTAATTAAGCACCCCTGATCACGTGACAGATGAAGAGCTCACCCTCGAGCCGCCTCTAGACCCGCCAGGTACTCGTCTGCCGCGTAGATGCCTGAGGGCCGTCCGTGGTACTGGAACAGCAGGTCCCACCCCAAGCTCGCGGCGTCCAGGTCTGTTCGGAGATATTGTTCTCTAATCAGCGTGGCTTCTGCATCGCAAAAGAGAAGCACACATACCTGACTGATTGTGCGAGAATCTGTACGTTGACGGTAGGGCTTTCAGTCCTTCAGCCATATTAACGCCGTGCCAGGTCAATACGGGGAACGGATTCGTCAGATTCTCGACTGCACTCTTTGGGAAATACTGTGGTGACACAGGTTATTAGGGATACCATACACCTTATAGAGACACCAGATACTTGCCTCTTCCTTGAACACATCCTCCCAAGGATCGCCAGTAGTCTTGAGCATCATCATAGTGTCAAGTAGCAGATCTTCGTTTCCGTCAGGATAGAAGTCGTACAACCTATGCACCGGTATGAGCTCCTGCTTGTTAGGCCAGGATACCCACGCACCATTGCAAGGTGATGACAAAGTCTTCCCAGCGGGTATTGGTCCAATCTTCAAGGCCTTCACCGTTGTGCAACATCGTGTTGGAGAGTTGCACAAACTTGTACAACGAAGGGACGACACGCGTAGCGAGCGACGAGTTCGCTTCCATCATCTGGATAGCGCCAAAAAAGAATGGGTAGCGACCCCAGAGGTACCGAGGCTTCGTGGTGTTCACTTCGGGACCGAGCCACCCGGTCGAGTCTTGATGGTCGATGACGTAGTCGAGGAAGTACTGCGTCTGGTTCTGAATTGTGGTATCGTCGATGAGGATCCCGTTCGGAACCATACCATTCTGAGAAAAGCTGTCAGAGGCGTTCAATCGAGCAGTGGCGATACTCACAAACCAGTAGCTTCCGGCTGTGTATACGACGATTAAGTATAAGAGACATGTAGCTTATGTGGCGCTTGCCTTCTTCCAGGTTTGAGTAATACGATGTCCCCCCAGTCCAGTCAGTGTCGGCAACACTAAACCAATTTAGCTCTGGTCAAGACAGTGGCTGAACAATACGTACTAGTCATAGAAGTCACGTTCATGCCCAGCTAGACCGTTCGTTTGCACCATCAGCTATCGACGAAGGAGTTAGCAAACTATCAATCAACTCTGGTACGAAGAAACCCACCTGGTCATAGAGCCAACCTGACGGCTTAACCTCTCCAAGAAGTAAATTCAAGAACTGCTTCGGTGCGACTGGCAAACGAGACTTCAGAGCCGTATTAGGAACAACAGCCGTCGTACTCACGACCAGAAGTCTGCGACGAGGCACCAGGAAGGCGTACAAGAGACAGTAGCGCTGTGATGATAGAGAATGACCACCGCATGTCGCCAAGAGTCGCTCGTGAGCTGAACTGCAAGATATCGAAGTCAGCCAGGCCTTTAAATAGTCGAAGGACGAAGGCCGTACGTACTCCATTACCCCATCCAACGATTACCAGTGCAGATAGAACACAAGTTAGAGTTACGCAGATGACCGCGCTCATGGTTCTCTGCTTGTGCGGCGAGTCCTTCCATCGGAAGTCTTTTGCCAGATGACTGCTCGTTGAATGACGCATACTGCGAGCTCGCGGACAACTGAAGTGCTTCCTGAGAGTCACAGGTACGCCCAATGCCCCTGCCGACAGAGGTATACCGTTGGCTATTGGCCGTGACAGAGAGATCAGCCAGCGAATCGATAGTACAGTACCTTCGCCAGGCCCACTTTGGTGACGTCTCGTCTAAAGCCAGACTACGTACGCTCCAAGGACACGCTACGTGCGGGCCGCGTCCGGTCCGTCACCTTCTGAATCGTCAATCTATCGTCAATAGACCGCAAACACAGCGGCTTCAGGAAGTAAGTATATCAATTGTACAGCATGCCGTAGAGCGGCGGCCGGTCTGAGATACGCAGTGAGACAAATAGAGTTGGCAAGAGCCGTATTAGTATTTTGTAACCTTGTCGTCCACTGACGCGGCCACGCCACAAAGCCAGGGAAGAAGAGCGGCCTCCGCACTGTAACAAGTCAGAAGAGCACTGGTGAGTCTTCAGACAGAGTGATTATTGAGACCTACTTATGCACGTGTTTATGCAGAGCGTTTGTTCGTGGAGGATTTTTGCCTCGTACCATGTGCACTTGCTTCTGGGCTGATCCTTGGCGCGTGCATTAGTTCCTACGACCTTATGGTACCTATCAGCTGTCGCGCGCTCGGAGTAAAGAGAAGTTGAGCCTCATACCTCAGCCATTTCAGATAGCGAGAGGTGATGGGAATAGATCAAGGCGTTCGGCTGGAGGCCATGCGGTCGCGACATACCATCTCAATCGTCCAACTTGCTCACTCATCCAGGTGCATAACTAGAACCGATGTCGACAGCATGCTCTCCTTCGTCTCAAATCCTGAAGACTGCTGATGACGGCGGGAGGGAAGAAGGCAGAAATCCGCGGCGTTCGAATTGGCGTGGATATTATTATGGGCGGCCATCACATTACCGCTTGCTCTGAGGGCGCCCAAACGCAAATCCCTCGTTGCTAGCGTATTCATACTCCCGTGCAGACACCTTGGAGCCCCCGCGGGACCGTTGGCAAGCATGAGAAACAGATGAGCCCTCGTATGCTTCGAAATCTTGGCTGTTCGTAGCCAGCGTGGGGCGGAAGGCACCTGATCTACCCGCTAGGCGGGCAATATCCCACGCCGAACGTCGATAACAATCCCGCTAGCTTCTCGGCTGCATGGCACACCTTCGAAACGTGCCTATATAACCGACAGTTGGTCTCGGGGACGAGCAGACCAGCACCCACCGTCGTCCGTTCGCAGACATGGTTCGGTCGACCCTCTACCTCTTGGCGCTCGTCCCGCTAGCGGCGGCCAAGCCGCTCGTCTCCAGGAGATGGGACTCGGACTTTGAGGTCAAGCACGCGTGGAATGATGTTCCGAAAGGCTGGAAATGCCATGGTCCCGCGCCTCCGGACCATGTTTTGGACATGCGGATAGCTCTAAAGCAGGACAGGCTCGACATCTCATCACCACATTGTACGAGGTCAGCGACCCCGTCCATGAGAAGTGAGTTGTCCGTTTCAGATACCTCTGTTACAAAAACTAGTGCATCCACACCGTGCCTGAAAACCCTTCTCACGAAGGGCGGTCATCGAACCCGCCGACATTGTCCATCGATAGCGGTTTCTGCCGTGGCTACCGTGCACGGAAAGAATAAGACTTACAAACCTTGCTTGACAGGTACGGCCAGCACCTGTCCAAAGAAGATGCAGAGGCCTTAGTCGCGCCGCATCCAGACTCTGTAGAGCTCGTGGATGCATGGCTCGCTGCGAACGGCGTGCCGCTTACCCATGTCGAACGGTTGAATGGCGGATCTTGGCTTTCCATTCTGGTCACCGTCGAGCAGGCATCTCGCATGATGAATTCTACCTATAGCATCTACGAGCACGATACTACATCTGAGTATATTGTTCGCACGACATCGTACAGCCTTCCCAGCGTGCTGCACGCTCATGTTGGGGTGATCACGCCAACCACCTACTTCGGCACCATGCGCGGCATGCGCGCGACAAGTTTCCTGCAGCCCCAGATCAGGCCGCTCGACAATGATATTGAGACTGCTCCGAAGCTGACCGGACCCACAAGTCTGGCAACGGTGCCGTCCAGTTGCGCGACTACGATCACACCGGCTTGTCTTCGCGCCCTGTATAATACGACCTCGTACGTGCCTCAGGCGACCGACGTCAATCGACTTGGCGTCGCGGGATATCTCGAGGAATTTGCAAACGACGCGGATCTTCAGGTGTGTTTCGTCTGTCGCTAGCCGCGCTATACACTGAGTTGTGCCGGTAGACCTTCTTCGAGAAGTTCAGAACAGATGCTGCTGGGGCTACATTCCAGCACGTGCAGGTTAACGGCGGCGAGAATAACCAGAATGACCCCGGTGTAGAGGTGAGTGAGCGGGGGCGGATCGCTGAAAACGGATTGCTGCTGCTAACGAGTTCGGCGACTTGAAGGCAAACCTTGATATCCAATATACGGAGGGGATGTCCTTCCCCACACCGAACGTCTACTACAGGTGCGTGATTCTTGTCCAGATGCGCGCCATGCCCCGCTGATACACTAGCAGTACCGGTGGTTCGCCTCCGTTTACTCCGGACTCAAATACTCCATCGAATACAAACGAGCCCTATCTGGACTGGCTCAATTTCATCCTTGCGCAGTCCAGCGTGCCGCAAACGTTCACGTAAGGCCTCCCATTGAAAATTGGTATTGCCCGTGACTAACGCTCGCTCCAACGGGAAGAACTTCTTACGGTGATGATGAACAAACGGTATGACTGTGCCTGATGGCTGTCCCATTCATTCCATACTGAGGCTTAGCATTGATAGGTACCTTCGGACTACGCGACCGAGGTCTGTAACCTCTTTGGTCAGCTGGGTGCACGCGGGAGTAGCATCATGTTCAGCAGCGGAGATGACGGCGTCGGCGCTGGAAATTGCCTCTCCAACGACGGCACAAACACTGAGCGCTTCCAACCCAACTTCCCCGCAAGCTGCCCTTTTGTTACGACCGTAAGTCCCGACGGCCGTCGCAGCTTTTTGACTCCCTCATGCAAGCCTCCCCAGGTTGGTGCCACCACACGTATCAATCCGGAGGTTGCGACCAGCTTTTCCGGCGGCGGATTTTCCAACTACTTTGCTCAGCCAAGGTATGCTTCGTCATGCGAATATGTGCGGAGTATTTTTTCATATCCGCCGTCATTTCAACCAGCTATCAGTCATCAGCGGTCAGCGCATTCCTGACAAAGCTCGGCTCGACTAACGCTGGCCTCTTCAAGTAAGTATCAACGGATCAATGCCGCGTCGCATCACTTACACGTGTCTACGGAACAGCACGTCGGGGCGCGCGTACCCCGACGTCGCAGCCCAAGGCGAAGGCTTTCAGGTCGTCGTTGGCGGACGCATTGAATCCGTCGCAGGAACTAGCGCCAGCTCACCCGTAAGTTTAGCTAACCCGCCCACTCAAGCACCCACAACCTATTATACGCTTACTTAACTGTGATCGATTAGACGTTCGCCGGTGTTATTGCCCTCTTGAATGACTTCCGGTTGTCCCAGGGCAAGCCGGGCCTTGGCTTCCTCAACCCAGCCCTCTACTCTACTCTCGTCGATGGTTTCAACGACATCACCTCTGGTTCTAACCCAGGATGTGGTACAAACGTGAGTTTTCAACACATACAGACCGTTCTTCTAAATGCGCTCTGTGCTAATTTGGGCTATCTTGCACAGGGATTCAGTGCGGGAGCGGGATGGGACCCGGTTACTGGTCTCGGCACACCCGACTTTGGCAAGCTGCAGGCCCTCATCGGGTGATTTGGGTGATAGTCGGCCTTGGAAGTGTGCTAGTGCCCCTTCGGCGAATCGTTTGTGCTTGATGTGTGTATGCGTTTGTAGAGCGCCATCAACCACACACATGTTCCTACAGCACACATCAGGTCGATCATCCCGGGTCCCGTTCGTTCTTCGTCGAGGTCTGCGTGCCTCAGATATCCTTGTGTGTCCTTGTATTTTGACGGTCTATGTCCGCTCCAGCTACCTCGCATACCGGCTTCTTGTCTGGCAGAGGCTCCAAGGCCTCCGAACATCAGAATACGGATGGAACCAGCGTGTCATTCGGACGGCCTCGTCCAAAATTTTAGCAGATGCTTCGGAGGAGTAACTATCCCGCCGGCAGGAAGGTGCAAACTGAATTTTAGTTTGACTCGTCACGGGCACAGTACATTTTTCAAGAAGCGCACTCCGCTCCTTCTAGTGGCTCTGAGACACCTTCACCTGTGTCCCTGACGTCCTGGTGCTGCGCGCGCCGCAGTTTTACTTGGAGTCAGTGCGCCACGCCCTATAAGGCGGGTGAACTAGCGGTACTTCCAGGGTCGGGAAACGATGCGGTTTGGGCTGGGGAGGAGGGGGGAGAGCTTCTGGGCCACCCTGCAGGTCTAGCCGTAGCTGAACTCAGATATAGCAACGCGCACGCCCTCGTGAGAGCCTTTCTGCCAGACACATGCGCTTTCCGCTTTCACCCGTGATGCTGAGCCTAGCGGTCACGTAGCGCGTAGAACCTAGTCAGAAACGGGGATCGGGCAACAATGCAGGCCGCGTGGTATGCATTGAAGTATGCAGGGCGAGCCGCTTCGTGAGTTGAATGGATCGGAGCACGGAAAGGGTCGGCCGCCCAACGGGCGTGGAATGGTATTCAACAGACCTTCCGTGTATACATGCTTAACGAGTATCGTTGGGAATGAGTTCAATGAATTGAGGGACATCCAGCTTCTACAAATTTGAGTGGACAATCCACCCAGTCTCTGAGACCTGTTACGAGAGACCACTAATTAATGACTGTTCGACCGCCTTGATTTTTCTAGTCACCCTGACTGTCGCCCTGCACTGTGTGGGAGCAATGCGATTGGTGGCAGGTGACAGCTGCGCTTCTCTCGACCAATCAGCACGTTCAGCTGCGGTGTCTTCTTGCTTCAAACCACAGAAGAACCATTGTCAGTTGGCAATAAACTGCAACCAGATATGGAGCGAGGAGCATTCTGCCAGGGTTGCAACCAAGCTGATGCTCATTGCCAGCAAAGCACGAACCTGCATGGCGAATACTCACACCATGCCGCTAACATGCTATATCCTCCGACTGCTGAGAGGGCAATTGGATACTTCTGCTGCTTGCTTGAGGCTTCTCCTTGCCGAATTGCCACGGGGTTTCATAACCCCTGGCGCTAACCCGGGGCACGCACCTGGCGCACCGATGACACGTCTTGTCTGAACTCGCAGCGTCTCGTAGAGCGCTTCTTGAATGAAGAGCAGCGGCGGAGCGTTCCAAGATATGAACGCTGCACCCCGACGTGCATAGCCTTGTAGAGCGTCCTTGATGTGCTATTCTAGATCATGGTTTGCATTCGTGATGCGCAGGAGTGGAGCGAGAAATACTCACCGCATGCGGGGCCTGCAGACCCGATGACCAGAGTGAGAGCACAGGGCTGATGAGAAGACAAGGAGAAAGACGGCTGCGCCGCCGACACGAGGTATACTTTGGAACAACGACCAGCGTCTTCTAGACAGACATGATTGGCAGCTCAGCGCCACAGACTCAGCCGCAGCCGTCGGCAGTGAGAAGCCATTCTCAGCGGAGAAACCCACATCTTGCACCGCAAGCTGTCCAATATTCGTAGGTGTTCTGGCAAGTCCGTCCAGCGCATCGGCGTGCTGGAGGTAGGCGAGACGCACCTTAAGGCCATGTGTGAATTTGATGGGCTGGTCTGGAACGCCCAAGGGCTGATACCGGAGAAAGCGCATCTGCTATCAAGCCTCAATGTTCAACCTCTATGCCGGGGCCCGGAGTAGTCTAGGGACCGGCGCCGATGTAAAGCGACTCCTGTGCCGATGGTTGAGACGAGAGCTCGAGCCTCGCGGCGGCGGTATGTAAAGCGTCCGTCTCGCTGTCTCTCTTGAACGCGCCACGCGTAGAGGGGAAGGGACGAGTGACCGCAGGGCAGCGGATTTGCCGTATACGTTGCCCTGCATAAGTCGATGAACAGCATTCATAAGGAAGGCACATAGGGGCACATCGACCTTTCTGACCGCCTGGAAGATGTACTTGCTTCCCTGTAACAGGAAAACAGCCACACTTTCCGGGGTAGCTGAACGAAGAACAGCTGTAACACAGAAAAGTAGAACCAAGGCTTCGGTCCAAACGAGGACCGATAGGGGTCGCTGGGATGTATCTTCAAGGACTGACCTTGTGTTTCATATGCCGAGGATGGGATTCTGCTGAGCGACAATATCGATGAATGGTGGATGGAATTAGCTTCCAAAAGGGTCAACTCGTCAAGAGCAAGGGGCACATACCCTTCTCAAGTGTGCATCATCCACTTGGTATAGGTCGGGTGGTGCAGATGGCAGTCGTGGGAGGCCCTTTTGTCGTACCAAATGTCTATGGCCTCCGTGGAGATTCGACGAATTTAACACCAGCTCGTGACCGCCACTTACTACCCCAATCATTATGCGAGGGTCAGGGGCGATCCTAGTCGTCCCCGAACATCGTTCAAGATTGCGCACGGTCAGTGAGCCAGTATTGTATCCGGAGAGCGATCCGATTTACTCACTGATCACGTTGGATGGAGGAGCGAGGAGGGCCGAAGGTGATGGCCCATGAACAGAGCACATATCCTGTGCTGATGAATCCCCAGGGGGTAGCTGTGCCACGGTATTGATGAAACGGCGAAAAGGACGGCCGCCATTCCATACAGGCGACAAGGTGCACACCGTAGGACGTCTGATCTGGCGGCCAAGGGCGGTCATAGCACAAACAACGCGCCGCATGCGTATCGAATGCACTTACAAAGTGACGCTCTTCGGTCTGCGATGACACGCCCGTATAGAAATCAGATGAGAGCCGATGCGCGGACGACAAGTCAGGACAAGCACTGAGAGATTCGCATGTCGCATGTCATGTTTTGATGACGGGGTCGAGCCGCGCAGTGCGGACCGGTCGTCTCTACTGAGTCTGCATCAGCGACAAAAACTTGTTAAGCACTGGCACCCTCTAGTCCGACGCTATGACTCTATCGTTATCGACGAACATCGACGTCTATTCACCTGCCCTGATGCCTGTTGGCACAATCGTCAGCACAATTGCAGAAATGCGGACGTACCCCGACTGAGGCAGAGGCCCCCGTTCACCAGTGTGATCACCGTGGCACACACGGTGACGGCTCTCAAACCCGACTCTGCACGACTTTGGCGGCAGCTCGCTAGCCAGGTGAAGCATGGCCGCTATTTTGAAGAATATGCTGCGGCCTACCTCTGAGCATTTTTGATGAAACTCTGTGTTTACGATGCCTCCGGGTGGCTGTGGACGTTAAACTTACGTCTTGACGCTCTCCGTGGTCCCGCGTCTGCGTATCGGCTGTCGCCGCAGACTAACCGCGCGCCAAACTCACCCTAACTATTCCCAGGTCAAGATTTTCCCGGAGAAAACACACGCTCCCTGAGACTTCATGTCGACGAAGGTAGACAGCCAAACCTCCACCCATACTCCATAGTACAATCCCTTCTGTCGGGAATCCATACCTTCGTAGAGTCGTGAGGCTGTGCAGGCGGCGACGGGGAGGCATGATGCCATGAGGAAGGCGTTAGACTCAATAAGCATTGAGGCTTGTTAATGGGCCGTTCTGGCTCGGGGAATCGGGCTGCGTGTTCGTTATCGACGACGTTTGCCCGCAAGCTTCCGTCAGGGGCGAAGGCTCGAGGGAGCGATGCCAGGCTTTTCTGCCGAAACAGATGTCGAATATGCTAGCATGAGGACAGTCTGATACAAGTCTATGCGCGAATAATATAGGCAAGATGACACATATCGGTGCAATGACGTTGGGACGCGAAGAACATGCAAGTTTCCTTGCAATTAATCCTTATTCTGCCAGAGATCGCCCACGCAGAAGACCACGGTGCCACTCTCTCCGCGCCGCGGAGCAATTTACGTATCCTGCCGCATGCAGGAAAACGGCTTCTGCACAAGACATGCGTGGGTCAGCATTCCCGTGCCCGTCGAAGCTAATGTCGGTACTTACCAGCTCACTTATACGCGAGGAAATATGCCGACAAGGCTGGGAGATCGTTCGAGCCAGCATCAGTGTAGCCTTGCCTACGTGATCCGTTAAATTTGAGAACAACAACAGGCCCACACCAGGCTTTCTCCGCCGCACCCGAAGTGATGCGAAATATGGCACGATTGACTGGGGACCCCCTTTGCAGTGCGACAGGGCAGTACCAGATGTGCAACGGGAAGCGCAGGGCCTCGCCATTGAGCCCTTGCGTGAGGATGATGGTATTTGGTGGCATGCTCTCGGGGAAAATATTGTTGGACCAGAGGGAGGGGACAAATGCCCTGGGAAAGCGTCCCCTGCGGGCGGCACTGGACTGAAATGATCTTTGAGCGCTCTGTGGTTTGGGATGAGTAGACCATTTCCATTCCGCACTGTCTATCGAACTTCACCTTCTTCCGGCGTGAACAAAAGAGCTGACACAGCGATTAGCTCTTGCTGAACGGGCGCAGGCGTTGCTATCATGTTGTATGGCTGCTGCTGAGCAGCAGCAGCGTTGACAGGGGCACACTCCCGCTTGTGGCGTGGCCAGTCCTGTCGCGGACAATGAGCGAAGCATACTTCGTGGAATTGCGACGACCTACGCTGGAGAGATGATCAGGAGAGCAGTACCAAGCATTTTGGCATCGGCTGCACCACATAGTGGTCGGCATACAGCACAGAGTACATGGGTGGCTGATGAGTGAATTAGTGTTCATAGTGTCGTCTGTAAGGGTCTGCAAGAGTCTGTGGTATGATGGAGAATGGGAAGACCTGGAGCAGCCAAGACCCTGTCTTTTAAGTAACGTCAGAGAAAGAAGAAAGTCGCGCGGGATGTTTACAATCTGACGATGAGCCCGATCGAGAGATTAGGGTGCTCGGAGGACCACGCTGGATGTCACACACGGAAAGGAGCCTACAGACGTAAACCTCAGGCACAGCATGGTGCTGATGAAAAGCTTGGTCGGAATTTATGGCTTGACGGTGGACGTCCAATGACGGGCATGGAACTGGGACCTACCCTGAACACACACATCAAGGATGTGAAGTGTCCGATGATGCATTGGCACATCCGCGTGAAGACCTCTGGGTCGCCGACGAGGCGTGAACCTCCCCACAGGTGGACCGTCCACCGAGCGGTGATCAAGGGTCGGATAAAATGCAAAGGGTCGTGCGTTCGGAGAATCAAGCAGCAACTCTGCGGGCAGATACCCGGGAACTGGGTGTCCCTCGGTGTCAAGTGCCCATGGTAAACCTCTCACATATGGACTCGTTAATTTGCCGCTTCATTCGGAGCTCGTATGTATGCATATGGTACTGCGTCTCACCGAGACCGCACAGCATAGCGTGAGTGATGAAAGAAAATGACGTAAATCGTCTGCAGGCAATCAAGGCGAAAGGCGGTTCTAGGGGGATCTTTGACTTACGTCTCCGTCCTCTGCCTGTATCAAGTCAAATAAGCGTGAACAATGTGCGAATTTGCGACGTCTGTCGGCGTTCAGGAGAAGGCACGGTAAGAGACAATTCCAGAGCCCAGAGCGCTACCAAGCACGATGGAATCCGGCCAAACCCTGACGCCCGTCGTGAGCGCCAGGTTTGGCGGGACGCGACTTGCACACAACGTCCTCCACCACCTCCAGTATCTATCATGTCCGACGACGAGATGACCATCGATGAGAGTGAGTTATCTGATCTCTCTGCAGGACTTAATAAATCTGATGTTTGGCAGCCGCCAACGGCGGTGCGGTTAGGCGCAAGGGCAGAGGTTTCCAGAGCTCTGCAGGTGAGTGCATCGCCGGCCTCTACGCAGTCTGCCTCCTGATCTGTTTTGCTACAGGGGGAAACGAAAGTGGGATTGCATCCCAGCAGTCTTTTGACCGCGTTGAGTCTTCGCACGGATCAGAAACAAGAGCAGCGCGCTGTAAGCTCCGTTCTGCATCGGTCATCGAGTAACGCTGACGCACGCCTGCCCTCCGATACTCGTCGTAGCGGTAGAAGGATGGATTGTGCTCGTCACTGGCGTCCATGAAGAGGCGACAGAGGAAGATCTGACAGACAAGTTCGGCGAATATGGAGAAATTAAAAATCTGCACATGAATCTCGACCGCCGGACAGGATACGTCAAGGTACAGCCCCGCCTATCACTTTTTTTTTTAATGTGACTCAAATCTGTCTTCATGCACCGCTGTAATCTTAGGGGTACGCGCTCGTAGAGTACGAAACTATGGCTGAAGCGCAAGCCGCGATTGATGGAGCGTCCGGAACAGCGCTGCTCGAACAAACGCTGCAGTGCGATTACGCTTTCGTTCGACCCCCTCCAGCAGGACCAAAGAAGGGCCGTCGAGAAGGTCGTGGCAGGTCTGCCAGTCCGCCGCGTAGGCGAGATTGATGCTATACTATTCCACTTCTTGTACCGTAATTTCTCTTGCTCCTCCTGCTGTCCTTCGTACCAAATGCTGTCACTCGCTACGAGCTCAGAATATGGCTCAACTTCTGCGATGTCCTGCGTCTTAGCCCTGTCCGAGTTTACCTGCATTCGCGGGAACACGTTGAGCGCACGAAGGGTCGCGTCATTCCCACGCCCTCGTGCCCAATCCCAACCCACCAGCATCCCGACCTTCGCGTACCAACGAACCACCTTTTTCATTTTACACCTCTGACAATGGTAAATAAAGTGAAGATCAGTCGCGCCGTGGATGAAAACGAAGTAGAGGAAGTGCCCCCTTCCGAGGAGGAGGGGCAGAATGGAGAGCAGGAAGAAGAGGAGTACGAGATCGAGAAGATCCTCGACGCGAAGCCGGGCACTTTCGAGGGCGTAAGTCTATCGGTTGTGCTCTCAATGTTTGGAACAGCTCAATTAGATGTGTTACCGCAGGGCAAGCTTGGCTATCTGGTGAAATGGAAGGGCTACGAGGAGACACACAACAGTTGGGTTAGCGAGGCAGATGCCATGTGAAGTCTCCGTGTCCTCGCTTTCCTATCCCTACTGACGCGCTACTGTCCTTCAGCAACTGCCAGGACCTGATTCAGGATTTCTGGAACAAGCGTGGCAAGAAAACCGAAAAGCCATCCCCGAAAAAGCCGGCTACCGCGTCGGTCACATCTGGTACCAAATCGAGCAGTACTACAGCCAGCCGCAAGCGTGCGACTCCTGAAGACGAACCAAACACGATCTCGGCGCCGCCAAAGAGACGTGGTCGTCCGCCGAAGCAGAAGCCCGTGTCTGAGAGCGAAGACGACGCTCCCGCGGCCAAAGCTCCTGCGAAGAGAGGTCGGCCCAGTATGCAGGTCGCCGCCACTCAAAAGGTCAAAGATCCCGATGCCATGGACGAGGATGAGGACCAGGCTTACTTCAACATGGGCATATACAAGGACATGTCTTCCTGGGAGAGCCTCATTGACCATGTCGACACCGTTGAGCGCATGGATGATGGAAAACTCATTGTTTACTTCAAGCTGTGAGTACCAGTCCGTAGGTTCATCTTAACGTGCTCACACACCGGTCCTTAGGACCAAGAAACATGGGAACAAACTATGCCGCGAGGAGTCCAGGTTGTGCAGGCAGAAGTTCCCGAACTTGGTACGTAAGACGGCACATGTGGTTCTGCATTAGGGCTTCCTGACGCCATTTATCTGATAAGCTGCTCGACTTCTATGAACACAACCTCCGCTGGAGGCCGTTCGAGTGACCTAGTGACTGGCCCGGCGCAACGCTCCCCCCTAATAGTTGCCTTCCGTTCCCGGTTCGCTGAGTTTCATATCATGTTCGGTTCAATGTCAATTCTCCAGTACTATTTTTGCATTCATTTGCGATCGTTCCCTGGTTATGCTACTTTTGCGCGAAAATATTGCAGGTTCAATAAACATGCTGTTTGCCCCCCTCGGCCACGGGGCCCGCCCCGAAACTCAAACATTGATAGACGGTGGACGTTTCTCGCCGGCACTAGTATGCAGCACCGACGAGTTTGTCATTGTATGAGCATGTGCTGACACCCGTCGCGTTCCTCCGCACCGAGTCCTGGCCGAGTCAGTCCCTGACCTGCCACGGGGTTATTCCTTCACGTCTTTCACCCTCCGTCCCTCGGCACACAGTCAGGCCTTAAGACTACAGATCCGACGGTGAGCTGTAACGCCGGACAGCCATTTCGGAAAAAGCTTGACATTCCGGCGTGTTGTTGTGCTGTCGAACAGTTACAGCCCTCATGTAGACGTGCCTGAAAGGTACCATCTCGACATTATCGCAAAACTTCAACAAGCTTTGGTGTGAACGGGAAAGAGCAGGAAGCACTGGCTGGACCCCACCGCACGCATGTGTCGCTCACGCACGACCAAACGTGAGAGACAAATCAATAGACCGCAGGTGTACAGAAAGCTCGAAATTGATATGTACGAGAGTAGACCATGTGTGAAAACATCAAATTCGGGGACACAGGACGCGAGCTAAGGAGTGCATAAACAACAGTTTAGAGCGAACGAAGGCCGGGCGGAGAAAAATCAAACAGATGCGGTAATGTAGGAGTGTGCGTTAATACCAATCACTGACCTAGGATAAACATGTCAGTACAACATCCTGGCATCAGCATGCCTAGCGACCCGGGCAGGTCCACTCGCCTTAATTTAAAAGAACAAAACGGCTCAGAGTATATGGACATACTACAAGCGAGATGAAGATCGTCGGTCATAGTTCAGTATGCTCCGGGTAGTAGCGGGATGAGAGCACGTCGTCTGCCGCAGCCTCCTGAGCCAGAGCCTCGACCACTTGCTCAGGATTTTCTGATTCTTCCTCAGGGACTGACGTGGCATGCGCCTCAATCTCCGCGGCGCGATCAAGGGCTGACATTACCTCCTCTGCACCGCGACCAATGACAACAGGGGGCGCGGCAACAGGTTCTTCGTCCTCCATGCGTTTGTACGACTCGTCTTCGATAGGAAGGATCGAAACCGTCTCGTCATCGTGGTCATCGCGAACTTCGGACTCGGACTCCTCAGGAGCGCCACCGAAAGCGCGCTCGCCACTCCTCTTGATCCGCCGAAGACGAGTTTCGAAACCGACGACCACATCTTCCACCTCGTTTTGCAGGTCTTCAATTGCGACGAGCACAGGGTTGATCGGTGGCGATGGGTGGGAGCCATTCTGGACTGACATTGCATGCTGCAGGAACTCCTGGCTCTCTGGAACGACAGTTGAGCAAGGGTCGACAAAGTTTCGCACTGTTCACTTACTCCGCTCCAGCGCGTGGTAGCGCTGCCAGTCTCTATAGGTCACATCTTCCAGCCAAGCGTAATCGAGGCCAATGTCTGCCTGCGCGCGGTCCGTGATGTCCTTCACCTCGCCCGCAAGGCGTCGAACCTGGAGAGCAAACATGCAGCGCTGAGAACCAGAAGTCGGGTCGAAGAGCGATTACGTACCTCCGCCAGCTCCTTCTCGGCAACACGCAGATACCAGCCGTTCACCACAGCTTCGGTCTGAGTGAGCCTTTCCGTAAATTTACCGTCTACCTTCTCCACCACCTTCTCCCAGATAGTCTTTTTCTCTTCAACGGTCCGCGATTCTCCTCTGAGGTTACTGAGGTACTTCTCAGCGCCCCGCAGATACTTCTCAGTCTCTCCCACGAGACCCTCGATCTCGTTCCGAATCTCGTCAGTTTCCTTGAGTTCTGCGGTAGCGGCCTTCCTTATGGCCACGAGGGCCTGTCTCAGAGCCTTGCGGTTGAGCACGATGCGCTCCTCGAGCTGCACCTCCCACTCAGTATGACGAGCGGTGATATCCGCGCGTGTCTTCCTATTCTGCTGGCTGCGAAGACGTAGCTTCTCGGCCTTCTCTTCTTCAGACTCGGTCTCAGCCGCAGGAGCAGTGCTTGCAGTCCCCGATGCTTTGTGATCGGACTGTAAGAAGTCTTCCTCGAGACCAAGGTCCGCGAAGAGTTTGGCAAAGTCCAGGTCGTCGTCGTCGTCAATCGCGGCAGGGGTCGCAATTGTTGAGGCGGCAGACAGAATGGTTTCCGAAACCTGCGGACTTTACTGTCAGAATCAAGGCACAATAATGATATCCATCAAGGGACCTACCGCGCGGATGACAGAGGAGGCTGTTGACAAAGCTTCGGGGGCGACACTGACGGCAGATGCTGATGCATATGACACGGCGCTGGAGGCTTCATCGTTGAGGCTGAAGGTAGAGGACTCGACCCGTGCAGCGAGCGACAAGACCGGATCCACAATAGACTCGACCGCGATTGACGAAGCGGTTGGAAGGGCCTCATCAAGGAACAGAGACGATCCGGTGGAAAGTACAGAGGAAGCAGGTGACCCAATACTCGAGGTCGACGATGCAAGATCTTCCATCATAGATGAGACGGTCGACATAGCATGTTCGGCTGCGATGCTTGTGGACGAAAAAACGCCGCTTGCGGAAGGTACAGCATCAGTCAGTGCTGCGACGGGGTTGGTAATGGGTATGGCAGTAGGGGACTCCGACTCGAGCAAGATGTCTGGCAGAACAGAAACTGCCGATCCAACGACAGCCTCCGAGGCCGCAGGAATGAAGGACGAGGATGTCTGCGCAGCAGGCCGCACGGAAGATGACACAGATGCCGCGGCCTCAGAGAAGGATGCGGAGATACTGCTTCGTGCTTGCGACCTCTCTGTCGCATCCCCATTGCCTAGCTCGTTTACTCGCTCCCAGATTGTCTTGATGTGGGGATCGACAAATTGACGCCGCTGCTCGCCCAAAAATCGAGCGAACTGGAGCAACAGGAGCTGGATCTGCCGGATAATAGGAACGGCGTACGGCTTCGCGCGCAGATACCCGTCGTAGGTCTTGTGAGCAGCAAGCACGACATAGGGACGTGCCTGTTGCTGCCACCTGTGAAGGCTGATAACGGTTGCACGGACATACGGGTCGACTTTGGTCCCGTACTCTGTCTGAAACCTCGAGACATACGGGGCAACTTGCTGTTCCACTTTCGTGACGTAGGGCTGGACGTGCTGTATGTACTGGGGTATGACATGCCTATTCCACTGAGGTACGACGCGTTTCTTCCACTGGGGCGCTACGCGGTTGTTCCACTCCGACTGTGTACGGAGCGCAATAGGCTTGACTACGGCGATGGTACGGTCGATGTACGGCTTGCTGCGCTGGACATAGGGTGCTACGGAGGGATGTGCAAGAGCGAGTTGAATAGGTGGGAGTAAAAAGGGCTCCAAAACGAGTTTGCGGTAATGGTACAGTCCGCGGCAGAGCGGAGATTTGAGCGACTCGTCATTTGGGCATACAGATAGGGTATAGATCGTGAACCATAGGAGGAATACGCGGGTCAGTAACTCCACAAAGCTAGTGCTCTTTCTGCGGGACTTGGAAGGCGAGTGTCAGCGACGCGGCGCAAAATAGTCGGGTGCTTAACGTGCTTACGTGCTTCCCTTTTTTCAGCTTTCTCTTACTACTGCCGTTGCCCTTTTTGGATGACGAGTCGAGCTGCAACAGATGTCAGCGCGGCCATTGGCAGTCACTTGACACTCACCAGGGCAGTCTCGAGCATGTTTGACGCGGGCAGGTCGTCTGTGTCGGCCTCAGAGCCTCCGTTCGCAAGCGGACTGGACGCGTCTGGTGCGGACGTAGGCGGGACCCTGGCCTTTACTCTGGGTATCGGCTGGGCTGAGTTTGTGCGCGACGTTGGCACGGGGGCCGGTGGCGCCCTTCGGGTGACCACCATAACTGTTTTGTTGATGCAAAATGTGCGTGTGTTGTCCGTGAAATATGTCGTCGGCGTCGAGGATAAATAGGTGGTGACCGTTGGAGAGGACGTTGGCAGGAGACTGGCAACGGCAACGCATCCAAGCCACTGACGTGCACAGACGCGGAGGCATCACGTGAGATGATGCGCCCTGAAAGCGTTCCTGGAGCGCGCGCTGTCTCTTGCGCTCATCCCGCCTCCTGTCCCGAGCACTGGGATGGCTTTCCCCCGCCCACCCATCACATATGCGCGTAGAAAGTCTCTGCGTGCACCTTCGTCTAATACCCTGCCCAGTCTGACTGGCATTTCGTCTTCTCCGCTCGAGGATCTTTCGCCGAGCAGGCATGATGTGACACTCTCCGAAATGTCGCGGCGTATGAAGAAAAGATCTCGGCAGGTCACCTCAGCAAAGCAGTCAGCGGTAGATCTAGACCTCACTGAACGTCTCGCCAAGAAATTGAGGCGTCCTTCGCAATCTAGCCTCTATGATGGCGTCGAGGATGCACTCGCTTTCACCGTGCCCAGTACGCCCGTTAACCAGCATGATCGCAGCCTCCCTCTCGACACTCAGCGCATTTATGACTCTCTATTTGAGACCCCGTACCAACTGCGGCCCTCCGACGAATCCCTGATCAAATCCTATGTTGAACCCCTCGCTTCTGCAGACTCGCTGTCTCCGACCCCTGTTGCTCGCCATATGCTCTCTCGTACCAGCTCTCGTAACCTGAAAGAGAACTCTAATCGCTTGGCTCGTCAGAGGCTTGCTTCCCCCTTCACCAGTCGTCCAGTCTCCCGTAACTCATCTCCTCACAAGACGGTCAAAACACCAGGAAGAAGACCACTGCACACCAAGTCTCGCACGCTCTCTAGCAGCTTCGTTAACAAGCCTGTGAAGTCAGCTAGTGTGCACAAATCGAATGACTTTGAAAAAGACGATGCAGGCTACGACAGTATTTTTTCCTCGACTGCTCCCGGGTCTGCACTCAGTTCCTCGGCGCACAGCCGTACTGGATCTATTCCTGCAATGCCGTCAAATCTCTTTGATCACATTTCTCCGCAGGAATGGCTTGTGCCTGCTAAAGCGCTCTCTAGGTCACCGCCATCTCTCGAGGATATGGAGCTGGACGATTGGACAGTGAAGCATACTTCCTTTTACCTTGATACTCCTATAAAAATATCTACTCCTCCCCGCCGGCGCCGCACGACTATAACTCTCCATAACCACCGTACTTCTGCGTCGCTAGGAAAATCTCAATCCCGGACAGAATCTATGGACCTGACAGATGTAGTTACCGCCACTGAGGACGAAATTGCCCGAGGCAACGTCAGCGCGCAACCAGTACCAGAGCCTATTCAACCTCGCAGACGCCGACGAACCGTCGTGCACATGTCCAGCGATAGCATTTTTTCCTCTGCGCTCGACTTCTCGGCATACATGACGGAATTCTCTCCTACCAAGGTCCATGGATCTGCGTCCCCTCGGCATTCTGCGTCTTCATCCGGCGAGCATGCTGCCGGAACTGCTGGTGGTCCTGCGGCACCTTTGTCTCTCGATCCTGCCTTCTCCCCGGACTTGGCGCCTTTGCAAGATTCTCAGGAACCTCATGCTTCGCCTAAGACTCCAGCTGGATCAGCACATGTGTCTCGCACTATGCCTTTCTCGCCTGAAGCTAGCCGCCCTGGCCCAAGCCAGCGGGCCCTTCCCTTACAGACTCCCGGGAGGCGTGAACTAGACCACATGTTTAGGACTCTTGACCTCAGTGGTACGTATTTTTCCCGCATATATGCACGTGTATCTTCACTATTTTGACCGTGGCGCTTTTTCTTCTTCTTCTTCTTCATCGGCAGAACCATGCGCCCATGATTCAGTGGGAGGCGGCGGCTCTGAAGGAGGCTTTGAGAAGACCATCCGGTCTGAACAGCTGCCAAGAAGTTCTCGTGCATCGGCGGAACCTTACGATCTCCCCGAACCCGAATCTGATATCAACCTTGTTGGGGATCCAGCTTCAGACAGCCGCGTGGGGAACGGAGAACGTGTCGCCTTACGAGCTCATGGTCGAAAACGTGGGGACACTATCCGTGCGTCGGACTATGCCCGTCCTGCCCGTCCTTCCCTGCCGCATGAGAGCGCATCCGCCGCGCGGTCTTCTAACCCCCGGATGGAGACGAAGAAAACTGTTGCGGCGTCTGGGACCCGCCGAACGAGATCTGGGACCGTGACGCTGGCAAAGCCGCAGACCAATGGCAGAGCTCAAGCGACACGACGGGCGGCAAACCTCCCGACGATCAAGATGCGTGTCAACGACAAGCCATTGTCTCCGCAGGCCAGTGATGATGAAGATGACGAGTTATTACTCACGCGTGGCGTGAGCATGCAGGATGGTTGATTGTTCAGTAACTGTCCCGTTCGCTTTCCGATTTGCAGTACTTTGTCGCTCCCGCTTTTTTATACCCGCGCTGTGTTCCCTTGCTGTCTCTTGTTATCTGTGCATCGAGCTTTCCTGTCCGTACGCTGTGACCAAGTATCGCACAGTATTGCATAGCCTTTGTGGCGCGAGATATGAGATCGGGATCTCGTGACCGCACCCCAGGTCCGAATGCCCGACGACGATCACGGGCGTCTTGTAAATTGTTGTCCACTTTTCGTCCACCCTGCCGCCATCCCGAACCGGTCTCTGGGCTATGGACTCGCAGCTTCCCGCTTCAGCACCCGCCGACAGTCATGCTGTACAAGCCTCAGTTCGCACACACTCGCGCATCTATGCTATGCAGGTCCGTGCCTTCCTCGAGGCGTCCGAGGTCGTCGACGCGGACCCAGACATCATTGAGGACATCTTAGACGGCTTCGACGAAGAGTCTCTCTGCGCGGAAGACGGCCTTGAAGACACTGGTATCGACGCTCAAGACACGGCAAGCGGTGTCCTGAACGGAGTTAGTGCGGTAGATGAGTACATGGCGCTTTTGGAGGAAGGTGCGTCCTGTTCTCGACGCGTCTGTCTCGTCTCGCCCTGGCACCCTTGCAACGCGATCGAACTGCTCTGAGTGGTCTTTAAACTGCCCTTTAGCCATGCTGACTATTATCCGTGCCTGTGTGCGCCAGCCGAGACGTCCTGGAGCAAGGAAGAAGTAAAGCAGATGATGAGGGATCTCAAGGAGCACGGTACGGGTCAATGTCGCACTCGTCTCGATGTGCTGAGCTCAATTCTACTCATCCTGTACAGGAATGGCTCACTTCCTCAATGACTACGTCATAATACGCGCGCTGCCCATTCCGAAGCTATTGTATGCATTTGGCGTATGCTTAGTACGTGCCAGGTATTCGTGAGTAAAACAAGACTCATCGCACTCATGGGGTTCCAGTGCCCTGAACTCCGCATCAAGCAACGCAAAACATTGTTGTATTTCCTAGAAGTGGCCATGTATCAAGTGTACGTTGCTTCCCAACAACCGTTGCCCCAGGGAGCTCTAACTTAACCGTGACGCCACAGGCTGCAAAAGCGCGAGAAACTACCCATGTACAACACCATCGATGACGCTGTCGACTTGATCAAGAAGTCGTGCCACATAATGATTCTTACTGGTGCCGGCATCAGTGAGCTTGTCTTCTCGCCGCTTAGTGAACACCGCTTGACCGAGTTTGCACAGGTGTGTCCTGTGGGATCCCAGATTTCCGTTCTCGGAATGGGTTGTACGCCCAACTTCAGGAAAGGGGCGAGTATGATCTTGACGATCCTCAACAAATGTGCGCACACTCGGTCCTCCAACCTCTTTTGGCTCGATCTGATTGGACCGCCACTGTACAGGTTTGATATCCACTACTTTCGGGAGAAGCCATCTGGTAAATACAGATTTTATCACTCGGTCCGCGCGAGAATGTGTAGCTAATCTCTTTACAGTTTTTTAGTGAGTACAGAACGAGCAGAAGAGTCCGACGTATCGTTGACGTCATACCCTTCGCAGTTCATTTGCTAGGTGAGTGGTGCCAGCAGCTTAAAGTCCGCACGGCTCTTGCTAACACTGCTTCAGTCAAATATACCCATCGAACTTTATACCCTCACCATGCCATCGATTTATCAAGCTTATAGAAGAGAAGGGCAAAGTCAGCATATTTTTGTCGATGACACGCACGCTGCTCACTTATGGGTCATTTACAGCTACTCAGAGTATGTCAGATCACGTCTGTACCATAGCGCAAACGGAACTCAACCCGAACGTTTAGAACTACACACAAAACATCGATACCCTAGAAACGCGCGCAGGCGTACAGAACGTCCTACAATGTCACGGCTCATTCGCAACGGCAAGCTGTATCGACTGTAAGGTCACCGTGCCCGGCAACGTCATTGAATCGGATATCATGAACCACACCATACCGGTTTGCAGGTTGTGCTCTTCTGTACCGACACCAGCCCCCGCCCCAAAAGCCAAAAAGAAGGGCAAAAAGAAGAATCTTCGGCCCTGGGAAAGTGACGGTGAAGAGGAGCCTGATGTACCTGAGTTCCCGCCCGGTATTATGAAGGTAGCTGGTCAGATCGTGGGTATATGCGCTTCAATGCTGAATACGATGCGCCACAGCCGGATATCACTTTCTTCGGCGAGAAACTCACGGACGCCTTCGAAAAAGCTCTGATAGAGGACCGGCCAAAGGTTGATCTATTGCTTGTAATCGGGACTTCGCTCAAGGTGTCGCCGGTCTCCGAGATTTTGAGTAAGTGTACCAACGCCCGCCCAGAAGCTCGAACGTTAACAAATCTGTTGCAGCCCACCTGAGACATTCGGTTCCTCAGGTACGGCCAAATAGCTGCTGTGCAGGTGGGAATTCTGACATCTTCGCAGATACTTATCAATAAGACACCAGTCCGACATATCAATCCTGATGTAGGTATTTTCAGCACTGTCGCGTTCTCTTTGGCCCAACTTCTATCCTGCAGATTGTCTTGTTGGGCAATGCAGACGAGATCGTCCAGCACTTGTGTCAGAAGCTCGACTGGGATCTCCCAAATCTCCAGTCGTTCACCAATGGCAACCAGCTGGATGCACCGCGGCCCAACTTCCGGAAACGCCCCTCGGATCCGTTGATGAGAGGGCCAAAGCGAGTATGCAACAGGTACAAATCCACCCTTGCCATACGCATTAAGTTCGCTGACGAGATTCCGCCGAAGTCATGCGTGGCTCTTCGAAGGCGCCGAGGGCGGGAAGTGGGTCGAGGAGATCGAGAAGAAGGCTGTGAGCCGGCAAGTGAGCGCGTCAGACACAGAGGGCGCCGCGGGTTCCGGAAGTAGCGACGACGATGACGGGTATAGCAACCTCCTGCCGCCCACTGTGAAGAGGGCGCGCACCGCCTAAACGAAGGATGCCTTTCGCCCGGGGTGGCTCCCACGGAGAGCGTGTCATCGCCGTAGGCGGAGGCGAAAAGCATTCTTCGAGGCGCGCGACTGTGTGTCGAGGTAGTCTTCGTAGAAGCCGACGACGAATTCCTCCGCTTTAAAGCCGAAGCGGTTATATAGGAGCTGTACACCGCGCTGATTAGCCAAGGACAACTGATAGCCAAGACGCGATGCAGCGCGCACCATTGCAGGATTGTTTATAGATACATGTAGAGTAATATCTCTATGCGGATTTAGTGTTATGAGATGATATAGCATCGATCTGACAAACATAGTCGTTGAATGAGTGTCATGGATGTAATGTGAAGTGGGCCTACGTGGCTATCTGTGAGTTATCCCAGCCTGTTCGGACGACAAGATAGTTGATGTACGTCTCGACGGGGGAGCTAATGAGAGCGACGCCAACGACGACCTTCTTGTACATGGCGATAACGGTGCACTTTTCAGGCGAGTACAGCAGGGAGTCGCTGACTTCAATCCCGGTTAGCTGGAGACAAGTGCAGGTGAGAATGGTCCGCTGATACTCACTATCGATACCTGTCCAGAAAGCGCGACCAATGAGGTCATGCACCTGATCGAGATGCGAAGGCTGCAAGGTCGTGTACTCTATAGGAGCGTCCGCCTCCACGGGTTGCTCCCGGTCAGGGCTAAGAGCCATGAGCCGCTTAGCGAACAAGCGGAGATGAATGAGAAAAAGGGCACTTACTGCATTAAACCGTAATGCTCTCGGATATCGCGCATGAGATCCATCCAAGGCGACCGAGTCTCCCAGTCCACTGCTACGACTAAGGGCTTCGGCGAGGGCTGGAACCCCATCATGCGTGACAAGAAAGAGTGTGCGTAAGGTGTTGTCTTGATGGCATGTAATGCATTCAGGGTTACAGGGTTGACGGGCGGAGAGAGAGCTTCCTCGAGAGGTTTCACCGGAGAGTCGCGAAGAGACACAAACTTTGGCGGCAGTCCTAGGACAATGGCACGCCATTCATCCTGTCTCAAGTATCAATAGAATGAACGTACGGCAGACTGAAAGGAAAGCTTACCGGATGTATTTTCAGCCTTCTATGAAGGAGGACAAGCGCGGGGCTTTCAGATGCTTTCGCGGCAAGCTGGTTGGCCATTAGCTGTGCTTGCAGCCTGGACATAGGCATAACGGCATGACCCTGATAGCACACAATATTAGATTTTAGTAGGTATGTCAGTGCATCGCCGGTGAGTACATCACTCACACTGTCATCGTAGCGGATACGCTCGACTTGCGCAACGGCGGCCGCGTCCATTAATTCCGGCCATAACGGCTCGATGAGGCTTTCAAAGTCGTCTTCCACACCTACCACATTCAATGCCAACTTCTGAAATTCTGCTAAAGTAGAAGATGCGGGAGTGCCCCCATGACTTTGCTGTCTCGGCAGTCTGATCGCCTCCGAGGTCCTCTGCGAGACTTTGCGTCGTTTCCGGGGGTTCTAGAGGGATAATCAGCATCTTGTCCAGCAGAGACATTCTGAAACAAAGCTGTTCACGGATTTCTTGATTGCATATTCTCCGTCGGAGCCATTCCACTCCGGGTCTGAGTCCATACTGCAGCGCGATGACGAACTTGCATGATGTCCGAAATTGGCCAGGACAAAGATTTCTCGGCATTTTGCGAGCGCCACCGCGCGCTTGGTTGTCCTTGGAAGTCGAGCCGGTGCAGGCACCTTGACCAATCCGCCCTGCATCCGCTGCTTTGCTCGGCTCTCCCTTGCTGTTTTCCGCACGTACCCAGCTCTTACATGCATAGACAACAAGAGCCTTGTAGAAGAAATGCCGCTCCAGTCTATCCAAGATGTACTCCAGGCATGTATATGGTGCTTTCTCGACGGCCAGATAGCGAAAGCTGAGCTCCAACAATAGTCGGAATTCTCGCCCCCACTCGACACATCCCTCATCGCAGCCATCGTCGCCGACTACGTGAGCGAGACCCCGGGAGAGCCCTCGCCGGCCCAGCTGCGGTCTTTACGTCAAACTCTGTCTGAACTCGCGGTACAGGCGGAGCAAGAGTGCGACGAGTCACCAGTATCCGACGACTTTGCGCAGCTCCAGCTATCCAACACAGACGATAATACATCTACTGCTGATTTATTCTCTGCCGGCTCCTCGATCAATACCGCGAATACATCCAATGTCTCCGGCTCCAGCGCCCAATCTTTCAGCTCCCCGTTAGGTTTCCTCCAGACTGCCTTCCCACATCTACCCGTATCGCGCCTGAAAAGCGTACTAGGCAGTGCGCAAGAAGAAGATGAGATCGATATGGAAAGCATCGTGGAGGACATCTTGTCTTCGGAGTTTGTGAAAGATCTGGAGGAACGTGGCCTTGAGGACGAGGTGGTGCCAGAAACGGACTGGCAGACGGCGCAGCCCTCAAAGAAGAAGAAGAAGCAGAATAAATGGAAAGGAGGAAAGACCCTCACATTGGTGGATGTACGCCAGAGACAGCATATCCCGATATCTGCTGCTCCCCGTGCATCTGGTCCTGATCCTTGGACTCAGCTGTCCTCCGTCGCCACCCATCTGGAGACACTTCTGCCCTCACGTTCTGCTTCGTACTTCCAGTCGCTTTTCCACTCTCCCGAATACGCTTCCCCTTCAGATGCTCTGCGTTCAGTATTGTTGTCCATGTCAGCCTCGTCATTCACATCTGAACTAGAGCTGGAGGTGACAACGCCGCTTTTCGTAATGTTCGATGTCATCTGCGACTCGCCTGAATATGCCAGCCTCGACGATATCGACCAGAGACGGATGCTAGACGATGCACAACTCGCCTTACGCGCAACTGAAGGGAACGCCGACGCTGCGTTCGATATAGTCAAGCTCCTTCGCGAATTAGACGGTGGAGACGTGGACTGGGCCGTATACCACTCACCTGCACCTGCTTCTCCTATCTTATCATCCAACGGATCGAATATGAAGTCCAAGCACGCCACCCGTCCGCCGACCATGCCTCCTGCAGCGCAGCCGCCTCGGGTAAAGACCCGTCCCACCATCACACCCCTCGCGCCCAAGCCCCCACCTAATGTCTGGAAGACTGTACCTGTGATTCCGAAACGCGGACCGAACCCGCACGCAAATTTTATCCCCGCCTACCAAGCTGACAAGTCCTCTCCTCGTGCTCTCGGCAAGAAACAAACAAACGAGCACAGGAGTCGCGCCAACGAGTTACTTGAGCAGCGCAGAGAGGCTCTGCGGGATGCGAGTCGCGCTTGGCAGAGGGGCAACACAGGTAACCGTGGTGGCGAAGTTGCTCTTTACTTCGCCGAGAGGGTGAGTTCCTCAGCTAATACCGCTTGGGCACAATAATTGATGTGGGGTGTATTTCAGGCTCGAACTCTTCAGGAGGAAGCGCGTAAAGAAAATCTGAACGCTGCGTGGGACCTCGTAGAATCCGGAAGGTACGTGTTATTGATACGGCCGAAACTGACCTTGATGCTCACATACGGTGTAGGATCTCGAAGGAGAACGGTTGCAGTATCGACCTGCACGGGACAACGGTTGCTGAGGCCATTCAGATCGTCAAGGACGTCCTTCGAGAGGATCCTCCAAGCCCTGCCCGACCACTAAAGATCATCACTGGTCGTGGTAAGCACTCAACAAACGGCGTTGGCGTTCTCGGGCCAGCCGTGAACAACGCATTGTTCGAAGAGGGCTGGAACGTTGCCAAATGGGACGCTGGTCTCATTATCCGCGGTCGGACCTCACGTTGGGCCTAGCACCAGGCTAACAAGACCAAACAGTCCGACGCACCATCTACTTTACGACTTGTCTCTCGCTCATACGCCCCGGACATTCCGTATCCTACTGCACGACTAATTCACTTAACGTTCGCCATCGTACAGCTGTCTATCCCACCGAGCTCTTCCATCTAGACCTCCGGTTCTATCTTGTCATCTATTCATTCTCTCTGCGCTCACTCGATGCTGTTCAAGTTTAGTTTTGTCTCGCGCATGATGATATCACGATACCTGCAATGGCTTCTTCTCTTACTGGTACTGTTGTATTCTTGATCTGTCTGACACTTTGTGCATCCGACAATTGTAGCTCTAGGGCTGTTGTAGCATTAAGTGATACCTAGACAGCTGAATGTATTGACACGAGCTCTGCATGGCTGCCTCTGTATTCTTGGCGTCCGTTCGAATATATATCGCCTTTGCGCTATAGCGACGTCGGTAAATTACAAGGAACCGGATTCTCACGAATACAAGGACAAGCCAGTGATAACCCTGCAAGTGTAGCCGCTTTTGGGCGTCTACTCTCGCTACACCGCGACCACTATAAAGCTTCTAACCCGTCATGCTGTTCTGGCTGTCCGTTCTTGCTCTGTTAGCATTACTGGTAATGCGTAAGCAGAGTCCCACGCATTCTTTACTTTACCATTATTTACATGAGATTATTCTTCGCAGTAACGTTTCGGTACCGCGTAACCCTCATCTCCCATGTCCCTAACCCGGTGAAAGCCCTCTTCCCGAGGCTCGGCCATTACGCCCCGCTCTCGACTTTTGAGGACCAAGCGAACGCTGGGGTGACTTCTGAGAGCTTCGATATCGAGGCCAACATCCGGGACGGGGACACTAGGGTTGGTTTGGATGAGCGCGGCACGCAGGAGGTGCTTGAGATTATGCGGCGGGAGAGGGTGAAGTGAGTTATCCAAGCACCTCTTTGCATATCGTTTCTGAACGAGGGCGAATGTGTAGCTTTGACCAGGCGAGGGTGATTCGTCAGAATCAGATCTTCGCTGCTAACGGCATTAGCCCCTCTGGTGAGCACGAGTGTCCGCAGCGTTCGCCTCGCTCCGCTTACATCTGGACATGCAGGACTGCCTCTGGACTCCAAGGCTGTCACTCGCCTATAATCTCAACACTTCACTGTATTTTAAGCTGTACGCTCCCTCGAGGGATATATTGTTGTTACACTCGTTGTTTATTTCTCTTCTGACCATCTTATATTTATTGGACCCTGGATTTTACTGACTCGGCGGTGTGTGCTCTACTGGACATCGCTACGCTCTTTCGTCCCCGGAATGTCTTGCGGGCTCGGTTGCCGTGAGGACAGCCCCCCGGTGCCGCGAGGTGCCGACATCCCGCGTTTCAGCGTCTGCAGCTGGGCTGGGCTGGCTGTTTGTGCGTCCGCCGTGAAGTGTGCTCTGTCCGGCTGGTTCATACTCAGGTGAGCACGTAAGTCTTTCGCCCATCTCTTGCCTTATCCCTGACACGCCCCAAAGGAATCGTCTCTACATTGTTGAGGCGCATCCGTGCATTGACGGGGATGAAATGCCATGCATTGTCATCTCTTGTTCTAAGACAATGTCCTTTTGGTTAGATTATCCATCAGCATTATTCGTAATGGCGAGACTGTTCGCGGCCATGCTCGCTCGGTCTCGGCCAGTTGGCGCTTGCTCACGGTCCAGCTCCGGTCGATGTCTACTGTAACTTTGCAACTCCTAGACGACCTGGAGACCGAGCCCTAGACGTTCACAAAGCCATATCGAGTAGAGTGAAGCAATCGCCAAGTGCGGGCGCGTTGCACAGCACTCTCGGTGGTCTCCTTCACCTGGGCTGAACTCGCTCGGCTGCCCACGGTGAGCCAGTTCTTCTCAGGCTCCTCTCCCGTTAGCTGTTCTTCTATCTCTAGGCAGTCTCTAGCTTGTTCTCATGTGGCGTCTTCACGGAAGTCTCAAGTGTGGCCTTCAGTACACTTAGTCTTAGTTTGTTCTTACACTCCGTCATGGTCGCTCTGCTTCGCTTGCATCGTCTGTGGGCTCGGTCTACCTTTGCAATTGGCTCTTACGGCGACTAGCAACGAGCTTCGCTCTGGTGTCTTGTGCTTCTTGGATCACGGCTTCGACTTAGACGAGGTACTAAACTCCTCGGCCTGGCTCGCCAAGAAGTGCCAAACAAATTGTGGGCAAAGTAATCCCTGATGCCTGGTCGGGATCCCGTATTTGCGAGGACTCCTGTTCTCCTACTCCTTCCTTATACGACCTCAGCTCTTCCTGATGTGGCCCATTGCATCACGTCTTCTGTCGGCTTTCCCTTCCTGTCACTTTCCAAATC